CTTCTGGTGCCTACGTGAGCTATGGGGGTTGGTGTGTATTACTTGAGCATGTGTTGTCATGTCTAAATGTGCACTTTTTATATAGAATTGTAAAGTAAGCCTTGTCAAGGAAATTAGGTGTCATGTACAGTGGATACTGTTACATCACTTCTAGCATTTCCAACCCAGCTTCACTTTTTTCCACACTTACCAACATGCATTCAACAGCTAAGATCTTGTTGTATACTTGATTAACTGTTAATCACCCCCCTATCCACCCACACACACTTCTTTGTCAGGTCATGGCATATCCCAATCCTGTGGGTGTGTGTGAAACAGAGAAAGTGAAAGAGGGGTTTGGATGCATGACCTCATCAGGAAAGGAAACTTTCCCACAGTCTTCACACAAAGCCTGCTGTCAAAAGGTGAACAGAGAGAGAAAGAAAAGAAATTTAACACACCAGATGAAAAAAGCACTTTCCTAATCTCGGTACACAGTCATTCTCAAAAAGACATTTCAAACCAAATATTTAACAGTGAAGAAAAATGATGGACACCATGAAAGGACTGTCGAAAAGATGCTGAGTTGTCATTTTGTTTCCTTTTTTTTTTTTTTTTTTTTTGTTAAGTCATGCCTGGTCATTTATCAGTGCTGGGTACAGCAAAATTAAAGTTAAATAGTTTGCTTTTTTTATGTCCACTTAGCAAACTCATAAAGCAAATTGACACTTTCATATATTGATACTTTTTATATATTTAATATACTGACATTCTGACACATATTGATTCATTAATTGATTATTGATTAATTGATCATTGATTATTGATTCATTCATTTATTTATTTATTTAACTTTGAGAGCGATTTGTGACTGAGCTTTAAAGGAGAAATCTACCATATCTGTAGTGCATGTGCTATTACTTTTGGCAATAATTTTGACAATTTTCATTACTTATTACTGATCAAAACAAACCTGTTTACTCAAAACCCTAAAACAACTGAAGAGGCAGTCATTAAATATCTATGCAAAAATGTTTAAAAAATGCTTTCAGCAATGTTTCATTCAAAGGCATTTATAAATTTAGCTCTAAATCTGTAAAATTCATCCTTTTGAAGATGACACTACTTTTCCTGAAGAACTGAAGAAGAACGTTTGGTTATGCGTTGCCAACGTAATCAATACATCGCAAAGTAAATAGGCCAAATGGGGTATTTTGGCCTGATTGCATATGGATACCACAAAACTTTCATGAATGTGTAAGTAACTGCAATTCCATTTTATTGTACTAATCCATTGCGTGTGGCATGGTGGTGCCTTATGTAGCATTGCCGTCTCACAGCTCCAGGGTCTCCGGTTCAATCCTGAGCTTGGGTTACTGTCTGTTTGGAGTTTCAATGCATGTTCTCCCTGTGACCCTGTTTGCTCCCCCACCCCACAAAAACATGCCAGTAAGTGGGTTGGCTATGCTAAATATGTGTGAGGGCATGGTGATCTGCAATGGACAAGCATTATATCCAGGGTGAATTGTTGCTTCGCCACAAGTGTTCCCAGGATAGACTCTGGATCCACTACCACCTTGACTAGGATAAATGATTACTGAAAATGAATGAATGATATTTCATAGTATGAAAGTTGGATAGAACTACATTGCTATGACATTCTCTCTGAATTGTCCAAATTAATAAAGGGTAATAGATATAGTTTTCAACTTGCATCTAATAAAACTTAACTGAATCAAACAGCTGGATTTCCATCATAAGCAAGTTTTGAGTAAACAGGTTTTCTGTTCTTTTCTCAGTACATTACATACATTCCTGTCCAAGCTATTCACACATACAATGCAAGCTCCTGTTATATCACATGATGTCTTGGAAGCCAAACATCACCTCACTTAATTAACACCTACAGTAATTCACCTTTTTTTTGTAATTTGGCTCCAGAAATTTTTCCTTTTCAGGTGTTGTTACCTGAAAAGTTGTTATTACTAAATAATGTTTTTTTTATTGCTGTAGACGAGTCAAAAGAACTTCCACTTCTGCCTCATCATTTTGTCATATTCAGCTTTCTGTGAGTTTTGTGGGTGTCACTAAACGCAAATGAGCTATGCTGTGAACAAGCTTTCACAAAAAATTTATAAATGAGGCCCAATGATATTAAAAGATATTGTGACCTTTTGTTCAGTCCAGTGACGATCTTGCTCCAAAAAGCTCATTTTGTCACAAGTCACTGATGATTGGCTAATAGAAGTGGGCATGCACAGAAATGCAGAGAGCCAATCAGATTGCAACCGTCAAGATCCTGAAGCCTGTGGCCAGCAAAGTGTATAAAAGATATCAGATGCACCATGGGCTATATATTATCTCCTATGCAAAGTGACAGCAATAGTAAGTTGGCGGGATTCTGCGTATTGCAATGAGATATTATTGCTAATTCAGAAAACGCTGCTGCTGACATGAGGACTACCTTCACCTTGTCTCCTCCATGGAAAAAGTGGGAAGCAGGCATGTTTTAAAGTTTAAGGTTCTTTTTTTATTATAATATTTGATTTCTCTGATTTCAGTTAGAGGGTGTAGTGATATTACGTGATTTACTTTTAACAAGCAGCACATTTGTCACACACTTATCATGTGACAATGAACTCAGCATTTCCTTACTCAGGGACTTGACGCTTATGCAGACATAGATGGACTCTCATGTTCCCTTTCAGACTAGCCTACGTACTCTAAAGCACATGCTGAGAAGGTCTTGCCTTTTGTTATCTACTCCCAAAGTGCATTGTCTCTGCATTCATACACTTAAATACACACACATTCAACGACTTAATGAACCTGTGTAAGGGGTGGGCAGAGTAATCGCACTTACAAAGGCCTCTTAGCCAAGGAGAGAGCAGCAGATTAACTTTCATTACATCAGCATTTTGACAATACCCTTAATGAGGGAATCACTTCTTGTGTGTGTGTGTGTGTGTGTGTTAGTAATAAAGAGTGAACAGGAGAGAGAGGGACTTGTTTTGAGTAGACTGGCTATGTCTACTCTTCTTTCATTCCATCATTGCCCCCATTCACCCTCACTCCTAAAAGGCCAGAGTAGGAATTGCTGAAACAGCACCATGGCTATCCCAAAACTAGCACACAGTTTACCCAAATTAAATGTGATAAATGAACTTTTTTTTTCCATCTTAGAAAATGGTTGTTTTAAAAGTCCAGTTTAAGGTTCTGTTAGAGACCTTGTGACATTGCAGCAATTCCTGAACCAGCTCTGATTTCACAGTTTTAAGAAGAACATTTCATTTAATATAGGTTCCAAGCAACTGGTGACTGTCTAAAATGCTAAGAGTTCCTAAAATGCTCTCAAAATTTGCTGTAATAGTCCGACAAGCCTTTTTACAATGTGATTACAAAGCAAATGACAGTGTTTGCTACTCTTACTAGAAGCTTTGCTAATTCATTCATTGCCTCAGCTGTATCCCTTCACTAATTAGATGATTGTTTTGCTCATTAGCCAATTTTGCTAACAATGAAAGAAGATATCCTTGTGGCATACTAATTGGACAGGCCGTACGCCGATGAAGATGCAGGCCACATTTGCATTGGAGAGGAAGAAGACAACGTCATCCTTTTTCAATGCCACTTCCACAAAGGGCCCCACTAATGTTTGTCCTCACAGTTCCCTAATAAGGGAATAAGGTTCTATACAAATACACTCTCCTGCTTCAGTATGTAAAGGCTGAGACACCAACTCTCAGTTTTCTTAAATAAAGACAGTGTGTACGCCTCATTTCACCTCGACCTCCAGACCATGGGCTTGTAGTTCCCTTTGAGGCTCACTAGAGGGATAACTGATTTCCATAATTGAATGATGGCCATGAAATTCCCAGGCTATAAATGCTTTGTGGAAGGAAACGATCTAGCAAAGTTTCGGATCAGTAGGCTAGCTGCACGAAAAGTCTAAAAATGTTGCAAAAAAAAGTTCATGGTGCTTTTGAGGCAGTTTATGTGACTTCATAACTAGATGCATTTGCTGTTGTATCAGGTAAACTTTATGTGTGTTTACAGTAACTGACTGTAGTTCATATTTTGCTATTACTGGTTTAATGCAATGCCACGATCTGTATCTATTTAGTGCTCCAACTTTTCATATCCATCCATCCATTATTCTACACAGGATCACAGGGGAGCCTAGAGCTTATCCCAAGGGACTTGGGGCACAAGGCAGGGGACACCCTGGACGGGGTGCCAATCCATCACAGGGCACAATCACACACTACTGTCAATCAGCCTACGGTGTATGGTGCTGGTATGAATGTATCAAATGCTGCCCTGCTTAATAGTCAATCGTAAGATCACCACACAAGATATAGGTAATAGTAAGAAGCCAGGCATTACAATTAGTTGACAGACAATTTAAACATTAACATCTCTGTATGCTGTTGCCTTCTCTCCATTCAATCAGTGAAGGAAAACTCCATATCTCCCATTTCAATGTACTGTGGTGGGATTTACCATGTAACAAGAGGGTCGTTCCTCTTCCTACGTTCCTAATCTGTCTTGAACAGGTTTCAAAGTGCATTACCCTTGAATTATGTAATAGAGATATGACTGCTGTATGGAAGCTTTTAAAGTTATTTTACGTAGTTCAAATATTTATAGTTATATTAAAACTGTCATATTTGTATTAATGGTCTGTGGCACATGCTATAGTTGGATGCATTTTCAACAGAGCCCTCCATTACTATATCCATTTTTTTTTCATTTTGAAGAAGACACTTCGTACATTTGACCCAGGACCTTGTGGTGATATCAAATCAAACCCATGTCATGCTGCATATTGCCACAGGGGAACTGGATTCTTTACACTTTTCTTCCAAAAACCAGCTTTTCATTCCTTTGGGAGTAATGAAAGAAATATGGATCAGAAGCGATGGAGGGCTTTTCTTGAGTCTATACACCGTTTAGGATTAGAACCATCATATGGCTCTCCATAATGAGGATTTTGTGAAAATATACTTCTCATTCTCAGGTCCCTGGAGGACTAGTGTTTAGGTCACGGCACTCTCACGTCTGCGGCCCGGGTTCAATTCCCAGCCAGGGAACCAACCCCAGTCACCGGTTTTGTACAAGATAGTGCACTTCCAGTACCAGTCCCAAGCCCAGATAAAATTGGGGAGGGTTGTGTCAGGAAAGTCATCTGGCTTAAAAACTGTGCCAAATCAAATATGTGGATCAATGATCCACCATGGCCCATAATGGGGGCAGCCGAAGGAAAAAAAAAATACTTCTTGTAGTCATATTACGTATTACCTACTTTGTTGCAAGACGTTTGGGTGTCTGTGTCAGACAAAGCCACAGCCCTTTCATTGGTAATAATTACTGAACTTGTTGCTATCTCTGAAAAGATTCACTTTTGTTGGACCTCACTGTACTATGATGAAACAATCAAATTCATCAGCCATGGATAAGACTCGTCCTGCTATGTGAGCTGAGCTTGTTATATTATGCGGGCAGAGTACTTGTTCAGGGTGTGATAAAGTCAGGGTGTGATAAAGTGTGGAACATCCCTGGTCTTGGCATTTGCTTTCAGCCTAAAAGCTTAGATTGAAAAAGGTACACCAAATATGATACAAGCATCTAATATCCCATATTGTGGGCTGTGTCTCTCTTTGTCCTGGCAGAGAATCAGTATTTCATTCCTTTAGTTAATACTGACATTGTCTGTAGAATGAACTAACCTCATTACTATGTAAATGTGGCATAGAGAGTTTACAATATGTTGCAATGAAAAAATTATTAAGGCTTCCTACAGGTTTTACTTGACTCAGCTTATATTTAGCAATGAGAAACATTAAGCATGTAAACTGTGAAAAGCATGTTGACAATAGTAACCAGGCACAATATCATGGTGATGGTATCATCACAAGATTTGGAGAATGGTTTAAATAGTTTCTGTTAGGATTTTCATTTATTATTAGCTAGCACTCGTTTATGTGCATCATTGCTAAATTAAGGCATTGGTTATGACCGAAATACTGACGTGAATTATTTGCTATTAAGTCAATATGTTTGTATATGTTTACTGTTGATTGCGATTCAGAGGAAACTCTGCGGTCACATTGGCCTGAGATCCAGAGCAGTTGCTTGTTCTGACCCAGATTCCAATGATTCAAGGTCAAGGAATGAAAGGGGGAGGTGAAAGAACAAATTAAACAGATGGAGAGAAGGAAGGAGGGAGATAGTGACAGAGGTGATTGGAGAAATGTGTGAATATGTGGGAGAAACGGATAGATTGAAATCACAGTAGAGAATGACAGAGTTCAAACTCTGTGTGTAATCTAAGGCTATGACTGCCATTGTGTCATACTTTCTTTCTGCTAGATAGAGACACCAAGCAGGGCTGCACCCCCTTTATCATTATTGCCGTTTTTATTAGATCCTCTTGCTGTATTAATACATCACAAACCAGTGGTTTTCCTCTTGCAAAACATCATTCTTAGACTGTTCTAAGTGAATCAATTAATTTGACAATTTATTATAGCTGAACTGGTGGATACTATTGTTATCAATGATACATTTGATGACAACTGTTTAAATGAGCATTTTACTAAACTTATATGAAAAGGTATTAAGCAGTGTCTTTCTTTGTCACTAGAGCTGTGCCTTGAAATTTACTTACCTTTTATCTTTAAGTATAAATTAGGTGAGTGATACATATATTTGAGGTAGATACCTGCACCATTAGAACCACCAGGGGCAGATTAAGGTCTACACAGGCCCCTAGGCTCAAGGATTTCAAGAGAGCCCTCCAACCACAACCTAAAAAACACACTTGAACCAAATCCACATGTTTTACTATGTTCTAGTTTAAGTCTGAGGATGATAACTCTCCCAGTTTGAGCTTTATGAATCATTTTCTTAGATAAGTGAATTTACTGAAAGGCTACCAGGAAAGCTAGGTAACCATGTTCATTAAATTCATTAAAAATATGCACATATTCATTCTTAATTTTATGCCTAATATGCTGAAAACTGCTCTGTTAATGTTTCTTGTCTTGTCACATTGACAATAACGCATTACATTACATGAATCACATAAATGTTTGCATTCCTGATATAAATGGGTCTTTTAACATTTCTATCATAAAACAGTTGTCAAATATTAAACTTTAGCTACTTAAATTACATCTTACCTACTGAAGCATCACCCGGCTTCTGTGAACAGTAAAGCCCATCTTCTTTGATTTGATTGGCCATCTCAAACGTTTTGACATTGATGCTGCTAGACTGCCAAGGCAAACCACCCTAAAAATGTAACTTTTTTAACTTTTTGTCATCCTAACAGCATACATAGCGGTGCATAATGGAGTGCAGCAGAGGAGCATAAAAAATATCAAATATTGGGGGACAATTTGGCCATATCTGATTACTGGGGGGATGTGTTCCCCTCAATATCTGTGGTGGTCACAGCCCTGTAACACGTGGGCGATGGGAGGGGCGATGTTAACCCGTCATGCGTGCAAAAATTACACAAAATTACCCCTAAGTGTGAATGAGTGTGCAAATAGGTGTGTGTGTGTGTGTGTGTGTGTGTGTATGTGTGAGTGTGTGTGTTATGCCCTCAAATGAACTAGCATCCTGTTGAGGGTGTACTGGTTACTGAAGCTGACTGACTCAGAATTTATGAATGAATGAATTTGTCTTGAGGTTGTTGGACAAAAAAAAAATGGTGAAAAAATGTTAACTAAAGTACACTAAACTTGTTTATGCTACAAAACCATTTAGTTTAGCTCTACACGCTAATTAGTAATAACTAATGTTCATTATTTTTGTACTTCATTTAATTTAATTGTACAAAAATCGTATTAAAGTCCAACTTAACCATGCTAAAATGTAGCTATTTTAAGTATACTTCAGTAGGCTTTACATATACTACGGTTTATGTGTTTGAATCCATGACACACTTCGAGTACTAAGTATACCATGATATATTTGGGGTGAAATTAAATTTTATTTTAAGTATTACTATTGCACTTTTATTAGAAATCTACTAAAAACATACTATACTTATCTATTGCTCATGTTTATCTAACACAAAAAAGCTCACCATTATGTATACCACATATTTAAAAAACAATAATAAACAATATATTTCCCATAGCATAATACTATATGAATAAAAACAGGTTAAACCTTAAAAAAGCTATGCTTCCAAACTGAAAGTGCTATTTTCAACACACTTTAATGGAATACATTTACAATTTAGTTTTAACAATTATTTGAACACATGCTTTGTAGTAAATCCTTATGACTAGCAAGATGCATGAATGGGTAGGTGAACAAAGGGAAAAGACACAAACCCCACCCAATATTGAAAATACCTACCCCCGGCGCCGAGTAGGAAAGCGCTCATGGCGCTTGGGATATGGGATATGTTTAAAGTGTCTTCGAATACAGACAGAACTAACATACTGTAGCTATCACTGGTTTAAAAAAATGTAGGAACAGAATATTGACTATAAACAGATGTTAATATGTATTAAACAGTTCTACTGTGCTTGAAACATTACAAACATGCTAATAACTTACAAATGACAAATGCACCACTTTTCTCCTCCGCACATTCCATTACAAATGACGACCTCACACATTCATTCATTTATCTTCAGTATTCGCTCTATTCAGGTCAGACAAAGTTCAGTATATTTTAAATACAATTAAGCACATATATTTTTACTAGGAGATGTATCAAGGTTAGATAATGCAAACTATATACATTATGTAAAGGCAATTTTGACTGCTGGTGGTGGCAGGGAAAAGGGGAAAAGAGAAACAGAGAAGTGTGTGTGTGTGTGTATGTGTGTGTTTGTGTGTTTGTAAAAGAGAGCTTTTTTGAGAGAAAGAGGCCTAAAGTCATTTGGTGGTTTTATAAATAGCTTAAGAGTCGCTGTTGATGGCAGCACTTTCATGGGCATTGTGGACTATTTATTTGTAAGCGTAACCATCCATTCACTCCCTCACATGCACCCACATGCACAAACAAACACACAGATGTGCACTTTTATACCTTAGGCTCTTTTTAGTAGGCACTACAAAGCAACACTCTAATGCCACCACAATTGCTGCACTTTTCATTCATTCCTCTTCAGTAACTGCTTTATTCTGGTCAGGGTCGCGGTGGATCCGGAGCCTATCCTGGGAATACTGGGCTAGAGGCAGGAACACACACAGTGCTTGCTGAATTTTGCTGTGTGAATTTTTTTCCCTATTATTATTTATTATTAGTTAAACTCGTCACTGAATATCAGACCTTCCTGAAGTGCTGGCTGAAAATATATCTGATTATGATGATTTTTTTGGTAATCATGGAGTAAATAATGGCTCAGCTTGGCGTTAGTTAATCAGCCAAATAAAAATTTGCATCGGCTGAGCCATATATGTGACACGGGTTACTGTGCAAGAGAGAGACAGATAAAGAGAGAATGAGTGAGAGTGAGGGAGATAGAATAGTGTGATATTAAAACTCTATAGAAAGTGAACCATTGACCCTTGGGTCATAGGCTATGACCCCAGACAATGCCACTAGAGTTGGCCCTTTATGTATGGACTCAAATAACCTCTCACCCCTGACCTGCAGACTGGGAACATTACATTATCCCTTTCCCATCAGTATTTGGAGCATCGAACAATTGTGTGTGTGTGTGTGTGTGTGTGTATGTGTAGCAACCCTTGATGGAAACTGTAATGGAATGATATGAGAGAAAGAGCATTAGAAAAAAGTGGCTGTGCAAGTGACAAAAAGTCTCTGCCATGAAACACAAACCTTTCATTCTCAAGTCTCTTTCCCCCTCTGTCTCTCCATCTCTCACACACACACACACGCACACATACTTAGACACAGAGGGAGCTCAGGTGTCTCCTCTTGCTCCACAGGAACTAAATGGCTCTCTTGGTTCAGTCCAACAATGTCAGTGACACTCTAGCACTGGCCTATGAGTCCTATTGTTAGCTTACAATCCTCTTGGCATTGTGCTCAATAATGCTCTCTCTGAATGGGCAGCCTAACCTACTTGTATTGTCACTAATTGGTCTCTCCCTGGCG